TTCTTCTACAAGTCATAAGATTTTCAGTAGCTAACCATTCAGAAGTGGTCCACCTGCCCTTCTATCTAGTTTTTCTTTGTCTGGAAGCTCTTCTGAAACTGGTATACCATGGGTGAACCTGCTGGTATTTACAATACTAGTGGCATTGCTTCCACCATCACAGCAACACATAAGCTACCAGAATATGACAAACTGACAGACAAGTGGTGGAATTAATCATTAATCACTAGTGAGATGTAAACCTAAAACAACAATATGGTAACATCTCACCCCATCATTAATAGAAGAGTGCAAAAAATTGGAAAACAACAAATGCTGGCAAGGGTGTGGAGGAACTGGACCCCTCAAATGCTGCTAGTGGGATTGTAAAATGGTACTACAACTGTGGAAAACCATAAGGTGTTTCATTAAAAAGAGAAATAGGAATACCATATGATCCAGCAAACCCACTACTAGATTTATATCATAGAGAAATAAAAGACATGACACAAGTAGATGCATACACCCCATGCGGCTCCATAGGATAAGCACTGGACTTTGAACCACAAGTTGCCAGTTTGAGCCCATCAGTTGCTTCAACAGAGAAAGATGAGGCTTTCTCCTCCTGCAAAGATGTAAAGCCTCAAAAATCCTACACAGGGTCACTATGTATCAGAACCGACTTGACAGCAGTTAATAACAAACAACAAATGTTCATCATAGCACCATTTATAGCAACAAAAAGAAGGAGACAATTTAAATTTACATCAACAGAAGAATGGACCAACAAATCATGGTATATACACACAATGGAATAGTACTCAACCTTGAAGAGTAACGATGAACCTATAAAACACCTTATATACAGATTAACCTGGAGGACATTATGCTGGGTAAAATAAGTCCTCACAAATGAATAAATACTGTATGAGACTACTGTTATACATACATAATATACTATTATATATGATATATATGCAGCCAGAGTGCTCCTTGAAGGCCAGGATGGCCAGACATCGTCTCTCATACTTTGGACATACTGTCAGGAGGGACCAGTTGCTGGAGAAGGATATCATGTTTGGTAAGGTGGAGGGCCAGAGAAAAAGAGGAAGACCTCCAGTGAGATGGATTGGCAAAGTGGCAGCATCAATGGACTCAAGCGTGGCAACAATAGTGAGGTTGGCCCAGGATGGGGCAGTGTTTCGTTCTGCTGTGCATAAGGTTGCTATGAGTCAGTACCGACTTGATGGCACCTAACAACAATGATTATATATGAGGTTTTCTGCTCCCACAAAAGATTTAAAGTCTCGGAAACCCGATACAGGATTTCTGTAAGTCGAAACCAACTCTACGACACTTTACAACAAAAACTATATAAAAATTCAAAAAAAGTTTTCACACAAAAAGACACATTATTTGATGGTTACCAGGGTGGGAGGGGAAGAGAGGGTAGATCACTAATAAGAGGTGCACACATATCAACTTGGGTGATGGGAGAAGCATATCTAATAGAAGGAGGTCAGAAAAAAATTATGAAGGCAAAGCAAGCCATTGGGAGGAGTGTGACAGTTAGAGGCCACAGAGTTCAATAGTATTATATACGCCTGCAGTAACAATAGTCTACTAGTGGATGCCTATACAGACAAACAAAATGAACAGGTATGCAAAAGATAATGGGATTACACATACAGATTTATGTAGGTTTGACAGAGAATATTTCTACATATTATTTACTTATGTTGCAAATAAAACCATGAATATAGTAGAGAACACAGGACGGAAAGTTGTAAAAACTTCATAGTCACAACAAAACACCTTGAGAGAATGAGCACTGGGCTTGGGGGCTCATGACCATAGTCTTGGGGGACAGCAAAGTTAACTGGCATAACAAAATCCACAAAGACAATGTCCTAAATCCTACTTTTATGATTACCAACTAGGATCTTAAAAGCTTGTGAGTGGCCATCTAAGGTACATCTATTGATCTGTTAGGAGCAGAGAAGGCTGATGAAAACCAAAGACACATGGTAACAATCACTCTAATGGAATAATGGACCACGTGAGCCACAGTGTCCATCCACACCATGGCACAAGAACAAGATGGGGCCTGGTTACCACTAATGTGACCACTGAGAAAGGGATCACATTAGAATGTCTGGGATAGAATGGGAGAAAATTGTGGAATAAAACTCAAAATCATTGAAAAAAAAAAAGATTACTCACCAGATAGAGACAAATAGAACCCGAGACTATGGCCTTAGTCACCTTCAAACATGGAAGTAAACTCATCTCTATGTCTTAATTTTCTGCCCAACAACAAATGGTGTATAAGGCAAACAATATAATCACGTAAGTACACTCTCCTTAGAAAAATAAACCTTTGAGATCAAAAGTGTAGCATTTGCCCAAGAGTGATGTTCAGAATACAGGAAGGGTTAGAAAAGAAGGAAGAATGTCAATGGGAAACAGAAAGAAGAAGTGAGGTAGGTGCTGTTACATTGCGGGGGCTCTAATCAGTGACATGAAATGGTATGTCTATAAATTAGTGAATGAAAACTGATTTGCTCTGTTAACCTTCACCCAATTCACAATGAAAAGTGTAAAAGAAATAAATAAAGGATCAGCATCTCCAAGCAACACTATCTAAACTGTCGTCCCTCTCACTGTGGTCGTGAATCCTGCTTTATTTCTCTAAATTCCATGTTACGTCTAACAATATATTCACTTGTATGTGGTCTGTGTCCCTCACCAAAATGAGGCCGCTACAAACAGGCACTCAGTATGTCTACTGAGTGTATCTCCAGTACAGAGTTCTCAATAAATATTACTGGAATTAAATAAAGGAAAATTCTCACTTCCTTCCTTAAGGGTCATCTTCCTCAAAAAGAAAAGAAATGTAATATGCAAGCTTTTCCTTAAAAAGGCACTAAGGTTAGATGAATAGCTTTTTACTACAGTGTCAGCTTGAACTGTAAGGATGGTGGTTCAAACTCACTGTTGTTCCTTGGAAACCATGTACAACAGGGATGGGGGACCTTTTTTCTGCCAAAATTGGTAACACAATTCACAGACCATACGAAATTATCAACTTAAAAATGAGTCTGCTATATTTGGTCAAACATTTAATTAACTTATACTACTATACAGGGTCGCTATGTGTTGGAGCCGACTCGACGGCACTGAACAACAACAACTGTAATGGCTGGAACTATGGTTGCCTTGACAGGACCAAACCAGATGATTTCGAGGGCCTTTTGCATAAGGTCGCTATGAGTAGGTACCTAACAACAACAATACAGCCCTTGGGCTGGCCGTTCCCCACCCTTGCTATACAGGGTCATTATGAGTCAGAACCAACTCCATGGCACACAACAACAGCAACATGAGGCTATTTTAATACTATGCTCAAGGGAAATCATTAACATTAAACCACAAATGTCAATTACTTAAACCCCCTATAGAGTATTTTTATTAATTATTAGATTGTTGTTGTTGTTGTTGTTAAGTGCTGTCGAGTTCTTTCCGACTCATAGAAACCCCGTAAAGAGTTTCCAAGGAGTGGCTGGTGAGTTTGAACTGCCGACCTTGTGGATCAAACCAACCTTGTGGTTCAGTTCTTATCCTACAGTGTCACAACAGTATCACTGGTTCATAAGATGTAAATCTTTTTTATTGAAAGTATTAATCTGATGATATACTGGCATGGTCACAATACAGTAAGCAAAGAAACCAAGTTATAAAACAGGATTATAAATGAGAAGGTCAGGAAACTTTTGACCAAAACCAAATGATTAAATTAATCTCAGTTCTTGCTGAATTCAGCTGGCCCTTTTACTTGCCTGCCTAGGACTTCATGGTTATTTAGCTGCATCCAAGAGAGTGAGCTAAGACCTTTCACGGGCTCCTGTCATTTGGCCACGTGAACTGCTCCGTCTCAAGAGTGATGTCTCTTTGTGGCTACAAAAGGATGTGAAAGAAATACCTTTTAAGGAAGAGAATCTTGACACAGCTATCATTTGTATAGAGTGGACTCAAGAAATATTACTTCATGACAACAATGAGAAGGAAGGATGCCAAGAGGGTATTGAAGAAGGCAGGGTAACAAAAGAAGAGCAAGAAGGAGGATGACCCATCATGCTTGAGAGACTTAGCACTCACACTGGTGACCTTGACTGAAGTCAAGAGTCTAGCTGGTTTGGAGGCTCATAGACATGTGGTCCAGACTCCAATATAGATGCAGACGCCAGTGGCTGAATGAGCCCATTCTGTTACACTATACAATGCACTAGTTCACGCAATAATACACAAAACTTCAATAGCTACATTTTACTGAGGATTTTAATCCTCTGAATGTGTACTGCACTAAATTTTTTCACTACATTCTTTTCACAATCCTGGGGAGTAGGTAGTGTAAAAAAGCCTTTGAAAATTTCTTTGATTGGGCCTTCTTGTGTGTAACAGCTCTGTTACGTTAAAAATTGGAAAAAGAGAATTTGATTAGGATAACTAAGTCCTAATCATAGTAGATTTCTATTAGAACCATTGTTCTCTAAAATGAAACCTGAGATCAGGCTCAGAGGTGTGAAAACTAACTGAATAATTTCAAGGTGATGATGGTGGTGGTAGTGTGCCATGGAGTTGGTTCCATCTCATAGTGACCCTGTATAGGGTTTCTGAGGCTATAAAGCTTTATAGGAGCAAAAAGCCTCATCTTTTTCCCACAGAACTGCTGGTAGTTTCAAACTGCTAACCTTGAGATTAGCAGCTCAACTTGTAACCACTACGCTACCAGAGACTTTCATGATAAATGGTAAATTGCCGATTTTGAAATGTCCAGTTAAGGCCTCTTTGAAAAAAACTGAGCACTCTATAAGATACAATGTATAATATTAATAAATGCAGAATGCCCAATGTGATACCTTAAAATGTAAAGGACATTTTAAGATTCAAATGTCAAAATTCACACTAAATTCAGAAAAATAAATTTAAGCATTTATTGTAAAATTGCACACCACACTCACCTTTTCTTTCTCAGTAACGTATCGAAGAGTGAGCCCCAGAACTTCTGCCGCTGCTGCATATACCTCTTTATGTTTCACAAAAGACATATTATTGACCAAAATTTCAAAGTATCTACAACAAATATAAGGGGAACAAGCATTTAAAATAATCTATTCTGTTGATTGACATAATAATATAACAAATTTCCTCCTTACGTTATACTAATAGCACAAATCGAGAAAATGTGTAACATAAAACAGGACCGCAATTATTTGTAAGAGAACATCTGTGGATAAGTATTTAAGCGTCTGATATCATAACCAGGTAAAGCCCATGAATCTGCTGTTTAATCCCACAGGGGTGCAAATATACAGTAGCCAAAATATAACAAAATGCTGTAAACCATAAAACATACAGGACACTAATGAGATATTCTGTGCTAAAGATTATGATACATTGAATCCTTGTATTGTAAGCTGGTGGCACTGTTAGGCACTGGGCTGCTAACCACAAGGTCAGTAGTTCAAACTCATCAGCTATTCTGTGGGAGAAGGATAACAGAATCTGTCTGTTATTATAAAGATTTGTAATCCTGGAAACCCTATATAAGTATCTATGAGTCAGAATCAATCAGATGGCAGAGGATTTGGGTTTCTAATTTAACTAGAGGACTACAAGAGAACAATTGAAATGATGAGAAAGAATCAGCACATCTGCAGTGTTCGCTCACCATAGATCCAAAGGCAAGGCAAACAGTATGCAGTGAGGTGGGTGCAGGTGAGGAGCAGAAGGACAGAGCAACAGAATGTCTGTGTGTCCTCCCCATGGCAAATGAGCAGCTATAATGAATGTTCTCGCTGAGCTGACGGTACGTTCAGGTTGCTGTTGTTGTTGTTAAGTGTGCCACTGAGTTGGTTCTGACTCATTGAGACCCTGTGTAGGTTTCTGAGGAGTGGCTGGTGGGTTTGAATAGCCATCTTGCAGTTCAAATCAACCTTGTGGTTCAGTGCTTATCTTACAGTGCCACACCAGGTGTCCCACTTTCAGGTTAAACACTGAAAATGCCTGTTTAACTTCTTCCTTCACACCATGCAAACTCCTCTTCCAAATGAACTCTAAGCCCAAAATTTAAATTTTAGGTAAAAAGATTTTCACATATGTTTTGGTCCTTATATTTATCAAAATTTATATCATACAGCATCTGATTTAGATCTATTTTAGCCAGAAAAACAAACAAAGCAAAAATTTTACTTACCTCACACTCTCTATGCCACATTTTGGGTCATATGGAGGCAAGTTATTGGCCATAACAATTCCTAATAATTGAATTCCTACAGAATTATCTTTAGAATTAGGATCTTTACTTGAAAACTTTTCAAATATTAGCCTGAAATTTTAAGTGCAAAAGAAAAAAAAAAAAAATAATTTTTCATATAGTAAAGCAAGAAACAGGAAGACAAATGGATCTATAAATTTTCTCAAGCAAAATTTCAAGGTAAGAAGTACTTTTCTTTCCCTCATATAAGCCACCTGTTTGCTAACTTCCCCTTGTTCATCCACATTGTTTTCATTTTGTATTACAGGTAGTTCTGTATCTCTTATGTTTGAATAAGTTGCCCACATTCTCCTTTGTTGTTGTTTATAAATGCTGTTGAGTCGATCCTGACCCATAGTGACCCTGAATAGGGTTTCCAAGGAGCAGCTGGTGACCTTGAACTGCTGACATTCTCCTTTAGTTAGTAAATAAATAAAATAATAGTAAAACCTCTTGGGAAGTGTTAGCTTAGTTCAGCTTATGTTAAAATTAATCAAACAGGCCTTGAGACCTACCACCTGTGAGGGGAAGTGACACAAGACAGTGACAGGCAGTTCCCCCAGGGGGCCCAGCCTGGCGCAGTCAATGTGGGGGATTCCAGGGGAGTTGATAGCAGAACAATGGCTACCATCCTGCCTAGACAAACTACTAGTATCAGAATTTGGAGGACATGGTTTTATTGGTGAGCTCCAACCACTGACCTTGAAGTTCGAAGCAACCTTGCAGTCCAGCTTATTAACCCATAGCACCACACCAGGATTAGTAGTAACATTATACTTTAGAAATTGATTCTAGTTCAAGTTATGTGCATATCCATAGTTCATACAATTAACTTTTCATTATAATACTGTAACATGTTCCATTTTAACCTACATTTCTAAACAATGTTGCATAAACTAGTAAATGTATACCTGTAAGGGATGGATAAGCAGTCCTTCCAGCATTCAACAAGAGTTTTTATGATTTCAAGGTTGTGTCTAAACACAGCTCTTTTCTGATGAAAGACATGTTTCATTAGGAAATGAAGCAATCGATTTGCTAACACCTCATCTTTAGGGACCCCCTGAAAAGGTATACAAATTATCTATTAATATTCAGCATTCTACTTTTCAAATCCATTAAGTCCATTTATAAAAGAAATCAGACATTCTACATTTTTTCACTAACAGTTCCTAAATTAATCTAAACTCTTAATTATTTCATGTTACTAAGAACATTATCAATGATTTTATCACTTTGAGAGAAATAAATCTAAATTTGTGTTACTGTGCACATTTTGTTGTTGTTAAGTGTTGTCGAGTCGGTTCCGACCCATAGCGACCCTCAACAGGGTTTCCGAGGCTGTAAATACACATAGTATGTTTAATAATAGCTGTTCACAGGGTAGTTGATGTGAAGATTTTGATACATTACTATTTCTAGTGGGTTTAAAAGAATGGACCACGCTTCCATACAGCCCAGGCTAGTGGATGCCATGTGCTCAGTCCACACCACAGCCTCTTCTTCAGACAGCTCCACATACACTGGCCATGCCCAATGCTCAGGAAGGAAATGAGCTGGTTAACAAAATGCCAAATACTCAGTCATAGCAGAGGTTCTCATGACATTCAGGGTCTAGCAGAGCTGTTGTTAGTTGTCTTTGATTGAGATCCTGACGCATGACAATCCCATGCACAAAAGATCATGGCTACCCAGACCTACATCATCCCCATGAGGGATACAAATGAGACTGATGTGAATCAGAATTTTTTAAAAAAGATCACCAGACCTTTCATACCAATCTGTCTTAGCCTAGAAGCTCTGCTAAAACCTGTTCGGCACCATAGCGGCTGTAGACAGCTACTTACACATCATTTAACTTACCAGTTGTCTAGTTTCTATGACTGTAGCAAGTAATCACACCAAACAAAATCAAAAACAAAAATATGACAGCTTAATAAAAAAAATTATGAAAAACAGACAAAACAAAACCACATCAGTATACACCATAAGTATAGGAGCACCAGAGCAATGTAGCAAATAATGCTAAAAATTCTGAGTTTGGATCATACACTCTAGAACATCAACAAAAGAAGCAATGTCAAAAGAAAAAAAAAGTGTTGTTACTAAGTGCCTTGGAGTCTGTTCTGACCCATAGTGACCTTGTATAAGGTTTCTGAGAAGCGGCTGGTGAGTTTGAACTGCTGACGTTGGGGGGTTCAAACCGACCTTGTGGTCCAGTGCTTTATCCCACAGTGCCACACCAGAACTCCTACAGGCAAATCTTAACTGACAATTTCATTTCCCTGTAATGTCAGATTATAAAACATACTTTCTAAGGAAAGCAAGTATTCTCTGATAACAAAATCATCGAACTGATTATTCTGTAAGCTCCATTTAGATGTTAAACATAAGATTAAGCTATTCCTAATTTTAAAATGTTTTACACAACCCAAACAGAACTGTGGTGGGAAAAGCAATGGTACAGACAATCTATGACAACACATAAGAGACAATCAATTCTTACTACAGGAGTAGCTACTGTTGTCCATGACAGAACAGTGACCACTATCTCAACCACCATGTAGTGAATTCCTTCTCCTCCGTTACTTTCAGAAACAACCAGCTGCAGCAGGGTGCTCAGCCAGTGTTTGGCATAAGGGCGAAAGACCTAGAAGAGAATTTAAGTCAGTTGTCAAAGATCTATCTTGAATAGTCAAAATATGAATTCAGGAATATATTCTTCATCAGCTAAATATTTATTGGATGACTCAACCTAGATACAAGACAAATATCAATTCCAATAATTTCCCTGCTTAATGAGATTAGAGAATCTACTTTTATTTCCATTAAAACCACAATTCAGTGTATGTGCATTTTTCTAGATCATTTCTTTGCTAAAAACCTTTCTGATATTGTAATGCTCACAGGGATCAAATAAAAGTGTTCCACTTCAACCCTCTCCATCCTATCTGAGTAATATGCAGCTCTAGAGAATCCTACTGTTATTTTATGAAAACGCTTAAAACAGATGAAAATGAAGACATAAAAATGAAGGAGAACATAAATGTCTAATGTCTTTGAAATCTCTTTCTATATTGCAGAAGTCATTTTGCTTAGACTCCATATACCAAGATCTCTGAATCTAATGAAAATGTGACTATAGACTAAATTCTATTTATTTACTTATTTATTAGAAATTTCAACTAAATGTCATTCTGATGCAAAGGACAGACTAAAGTACAACTCAAGCTACACATCTTCATAACATTTACCTTCCTTCTTATTTCTTATCCCACATAGTTTCTCAAGGATTACTTTTCTATTGTAGCTTAAATTTCTGTGGTTTCGAATCATGAGTTCCATCATGGGGGTGGAAATGCACATTCTATATATGAGGGAGCTTAAAGAGTTTGTGGAAAAATTCAGTTCAAAGATAATGAAATTTTTCCATAAATTTTTTTAGTTCCCCTTGTAACAACTATTTGTTTCTAAGTTATGTATTTGAATCTGTTTACAATATTATCAAAATATAACACAAAAATAAATTTTAAGTTTGCAATTATAAAAGTCAATGTAAATAAAATTTCTAAATATCTTCCTGCATAGCTCATGGACTGTCAAAACCATCTTCTTTGCAACTCCTGCCTGGTGGCTCCTAAGACATGTAAGTGTTCCCACATAGCTCTGGATTCCTGTCAAACCGGAGCCAGACCCTCTTATCAAGAAATCGCTGATCCTAGATCCAGAGAACGGGGAGGAAGGTAGACTCTCCACTGAGTAGTATCCAATCTATCTGGGCGGGGCTGATGAAGGAAAATGGGTATAGCACTCATGTAGCACAACAGTGAATAATTGCTATCAGGACTGACTGTGAGGGTTGGAAATGTAAAGGTAGACGTTTTGTAGCAAAAGGAGGGGAGTGGTTGATTTCGTGGTTGACTTTGCAGTCCAGGAGCGGAGGTCCCAGGGACCATCAAGGGAGAAGAGTGGAGTGTGGGACCCTACCCAAAGAAGCAGTGACATCAGAGATTGAGGCAGAGACAATGATGAGAGATAGAATGGCTGGTGACTCTACACCCAGAGAGGGAAAGGGGTGTGTGCTGACGACCGAGGGGCAGCCTTGTGAGGTATATATACCCTTTGGTTGTTTGATGATGAATGGAGGGGATTATAATCATGGCAATGAAATGATATACGATAGGATGAATGTAAAGCTAATGTTCTCCCATGTAAACTATCACATAATTCACAATAAAAAATTAAAAAAAAAAAAAAATCACTGAAAAACCTATGACACTAGCACATACTGGAGTATAACCTAGAAATCAAGCAATACCAAGGAATGCAGGCCCAAAATACTTCCCCAACATCTCTATTTAGATTCTGCTCAGCTGCAGTCTCACATCTCGGACCTAAGCAAAACTGCTACCTCATAATTCCACTTCGTCTCCAGGCTCAACTCTGCCTTCAGTACCATCTAGATAACTGTTGTATCTGGCAAAGCTTACCTAACACTCATGAGGTGCTCCCTACTACTTTGAGGACAGTCCTTTCTATGGTCCTGAGGAACCAGGGCCTGCGGTAGAGAGACCGATCACACAGCCTGCCTGTCTGTCTCATGGTTCCCCCAAGGGCTGCTTTCATACTGAGCCTCCACTTGGGATGCAACATCCCATCCACTTCACAATTTGCTCAAGGGCCCTCTAGAAAACCAGTCCTACCCTTCTTCATTAGAAGGTACTTGTACTCAACTTGGTTATTTATGTGGACAAACTGGTAACTTAGCAACCATCTAAGAGTCTGCTATATTTTACAGCATTCAAAGACATATTTTTCAACAAATGTCTTTGCTATAATGAACAAGAAAAGCTGGCAGCTAAGTTACCAATACATGTGTTTATAAAACATCATTTCTAACTCAATAGAAGTTAATTTACTTAGTGCGAAACAAGTAGATACATACAGGCGACTGATGAATTCAAACAAAAATGATACGCTCAATCTCTAAACATCTTCTTTCATTGGTTTCTTTTTTACATAGCTGCACATAATTGCAAAGAATTTTTTCAAAGAAATGCTAAATTACTCACTTCTTCTGCATTAATAACAAGTTTGGCTAAGAAGAGACGGATATTTAATGGTACTGATATATTTGCAAGTTTATCATGAAGAAATTTCATCCAGTGAGGAAGACTGCTTGGCACTGAACCCTGAAATAAAACATTGAAAATTATCTTACAAAACTAGAATTAGAAGCTGATTCCTATTTTGAAATTACAAAAAACAGTAACTGCAGAGTAAAATGTTGTTGTTGTTGTTAAGTGCCATCGAGTCGGTTCCGACTCACAGCAACCCTGTATAGGATTTATGAGGCTGTAAATCTTTATGGGAGAAGAAAGCCTCATTTTCTTCCAGGAAGTAGCTGGTAGTTTTGAAATTGTGACCTTGTGGTTAGCAGCTCAACTTATAACCACTACGCTACCAGAGCGCCTTAAAGTAGGATGAAATAACACAAAATTGTGTTTATTTGATTTCAAATTGGGTTTAGTCTTCAAGATCAAAAGTTCATCTTAATAGGAAAGTATGACGAAAGATAAGATGATCTTTGAGGGAAAGTACCTCCTCCACCTTCGTGGTAATCTGGCTTCTATGCATATGCTTGACCAGGGTTGTCAGAGGGACCATGCACTCATGCTGGTTCAGCTCATCCATCTCTAGCTCCATGAACTCATCTTGGCCCACGGGCTCCTGATGATCCTACCAAGATGGGAGAATGCAGGAATGTGAAGTATTTGGCTAAGAATCCACATGTATGTGACATCAAGGTTTTTAAGAAATAGCACATAACAATATTTACATAAAAAAGATAATTTAGCAGTAACATAAATCATACTCAGCATATGTTCTTATTAAACATCTCAAAAATTAGCAGAACCTGGTGTCTTCCTTACAATCAGGAATATATAAGTATTTTACCACAAAGCCTTGTACCCAGAGACACTCTGTAGTCACACCTGAGTCCTGTCTATTCAGTAAGGTATGTGTGGCCATACCTGGCCACTATGTGCATGGGAATTTTCTGTGGTCACATCCAAATCCTGTCTGCCCAATGAGGAACAAGACAAACCATGTGAAAATACTGGAAAGTAGACATTCAGAAGAGATCCTAGTTTTAGAATCAGATGTACCTCTGTGAACTCATGGTTATTATTGTATAAATAGATAAATACATAAATAAATACAATCACAAGTATGGCCAGGGATATGTGCATGTGTATATAAATGTGTATCTATTTCTTGTCTCTGTGCTCTAGATCGGGAAATAGTCTCTCACCACTCCCACCCAAAGAAATAGGGCTCAACAGAGAAATGGCCAGTTCCAGAACCATTTCTGGCCTTAGCAGGAAGATCATCCTCAAACAAGGGCCCAAAGAAGGATAAACACATGTCAAATGAATGCATGAACACCCTTTCAAGAAAAAAACACTCAACAAGACAGGGATAGAAGGGATCACTCCACAGTATAATAAAGAGCATCTGAGAAAAACCCACAGCCAACAACATACTCAATGGAGGATACAACGAGCATTCCTATTAAGATAAGGGAAAAGACAAGAATGCCCATTCTCACCACTGCTGTTTAACACCGTTCAGGAAAACAAAACAGTAAGAGATATCCAAATAAGGAAGAAGAAAGTAAAATTATTTATCCCTTTTAGTATTGTTGTTGTTAAATGCCATTGAGTTGGTTCTGACTCAGAACAACCCTGTCTAGGGTTGCTGAGGAATAGTTGGAGGGTTTGAACTGCTGACCTTGTGGTTCACAGTCCAGTGCTGATCCTACAGCGCCACATCAGGAGTCCTTTTCATAGATGGTGTGACTGTATACATAGAATACTCCAAAGAATACAAAAGAAAGCAATTAAAAATAACTAAATTTATCTAAGTGGCAGGGTACAAGGTCAATTCACAAAATTTCATATAATTTCTAAACATTAATCTGCAAGAGAAAAGGGAAATATTACCATTAACAATAGGATCTAGAAGAATAAAATAGCAAGGAAAAAGTCAACCAGGAAGGTAAAAGTCCTATATACAGAAAACTATAAATCACTGCCCAATGAAAATATTTTAAAAACCAACCTGCCCAAACTCATTCAAGAGGAACAGAAACTCTCAGTACATTCATAAATAAGGAGACTGAATCAGCAGTCAAGCAACTCACAACACCAAAGAATTCTGGCAAACATTTAAAGATGAATTTATTTTGTTGTTGTTAAACTGTTGTTCAGTGTCATAGAGTTCGTTTTGACTCACAGTGACCCTATATAGGGCTTCTGAGGTGCAGCTGGTGGGTTTGAATTACCAACCTTGTAGTGAGTAGTCCAGTGCATCCTGTTTAAACTCTTCCAAAAGATAGAGAAGGAAGAAATAGACCCTGAATCATTCCATGAAGACAACATACCCTGATACCAAAATGAAATTAAGATGCCACAAGAAAAGGAAAAAACCACAGGCCAATACAAAGGAACTTCGAAAAGTCTGCATAAAAACTGAACTGAAAGATAATGGAATTTTTCTGTGAACTCTTTAAAGACCTCTAAATACAAAATAGCTCAACAAAATACTAATGAACAGAATCCTGGCACATTTAGAGAACCATACAACATGACCAAGTGGGATTTATTCCAAGAATGTAGGAATGGTTCAACATTAGGAAATCAATGCACCACGCACAATATAACAAAGGAAAGAAGATTATCATCTATAACGTGTGCAGAAAAAAGAATCGGATAAAACCCAACATGCTTTACTGATGAAAACCCTCAAGAAGACAGCATAGAAGGGAAGTTTTTCAATATGACTCATGGTATACATGAAAAACCAACAGCCAACATTATACTTAATGGAGAGGGATTGAGATTTCCCCTAAAAATCATGAACAACACAAGTGCGCCTGCTCTCACTATTTCTATTCAATATTATATCAGATGTCCTAACCAGAGCAAAAAGAAAGAAAGGAAAGGAATCCATATTAAAAAGAAGTAAAATTATCTCTATTCACAGATAACATAATCCTCTACATTAAAAAAAAAAAAAAACACACAAAGGCTACAAGAAAACTTCTAGACTTAATAGAGGAATTTAGCCAAGTACCAGGGTGCAAGGTCAACAAACAAAATCAATTGGATTTCTATGCACCAACAATGAGAGATCCGATAGAAAAATTTGAGAAACAATTCTATTTACAATAGCATGTAAGAGAATAAAATAACTAAAGATAAATTTTGCCCAGAATGTTAGAGTTATACAATGAAAATTACAAAACACTGCTGAAATAATTTAAAAACTACCTAACTAAACGGAAAGATGTTCCATGTTCCTTGACAGAAAAATTCAATACTGTTGTTTCTGTTGAGTGTCGCGAAGTGGGTTCCGACTCAGTAGCACAACATGGGGTTTCTGAGGCTTTACATCTTAGTGGGAGGAGAAAGTCTCATCTTTCTCCCACTAGTATTATTAAGATGCCAGTATTGCACAAAGCAATTCATAGATTCAATAGAATCCTGATGAAAATAGCAACAGACTTATTTTCAGAAATAGAAAAACCAATTCTGAACTTTATATGGAATGGCAGAAGACTGATTAGCTAAAGTTGAAAGAGAAGAAAAAGCCACACTTGCTCATTAAAAGTTTTCTTTACACAACTACAGTAATCAAAACAGCCTAGAACTAGTATAATAAGAGACACAAAGACCAAAGAATAGAATTAATAGTTCACAAGTAAACCCACCCATTTATTGGTGAACTGATTTTTGACAAAGATGCTAAGTCTACTTGATGGGAAAAGCAGTCTTTTCATTAAACAGTGTTAGAAAACTTGGATTTCCACAGGCAGAAAAATGAAACAAGGTGTATGCCTCACATGAAAAAAATTTTTAAATGAATTAAGGACCTAAACATGAAGATTAAAATAATAAAATTATTGCAAGGAAAATTCTCTCAGGCATAGCTTTTTACACAGTTTCTGTTAGGGTGCTATGTGCCTTTGAGTCGGTTCTAACTCATAGTGACCTTATGCACAAACAGAACGAAACCCTGCCCGGTCCTGCACCATCCACACAATTGCTGTTGTTTGAGCCCACTGTTGCTGTCACTGTGTCACTCTATCATGGTGAGGGTGGTTTTCCTCTTTTTTGCTGAACCTCCACTTTCACTAACCAGACCACTGCTGCACCAGGCTACCAGACCAAGTCCAAAGGTTTGCAACAAAATCGCTTGCTCCACCCACCTCATGGTCCAGTGCTGCCAAAGTCTGGGTTTGGAGTCTTCAGAATGGCTAAGGGGAAATACCAAGAAAAAGAGATCTGCTTTTCTTTCTTTTTCTTTCTTTCTCTCTCTTTCTTTTTTTATAAAACAAGCTATTGCCATGTAAACTATCACATAATTCACAATAAAACATTAACCAAACAAGCTACTGAACCATGGACATATATGTGGTCAAACACTATCTGAATGGATGTTAACCAATACATATTTCTATATAGGAACTAAAGGAGTGAAAGGGAGGGGGAAAGTGGAGGTTTTGTTTAGAATGCATTGGTTGTACAAGGGACTTTAAAAGTTTGTGGGAAAATGGAATGAAAAGATAATGGAGACACTTCACCAAGCAAAACATTCAGGCAGCCAACGAACATATGAAGAAATGTTCACAATATTAGCCATTAGAGAGATGCAAACCAAAACAGTGAGATATCATCTCATATCAGTATTAACAGTAAAGTTCAAAAAAACAGAAAACAACAAATGCTGGGCGAAGGTGTGGACAGACTGGGACCCTCCTTCTTTGCTGGTGGGATTGCAAATTGGTTCAACCACTCTGGAAAATGGTATGGTGCTCCCTCAGAAAGCTGGAAATAGAAATACCTCATGGTTCAACAATTCCTCTACTTGGTATATACCCACAAGAAATATCTGCCAGACCATAAGTAGATATATGCATACCAATGCTTATTGCAACACTATTCACAATAGCAAAAAAGATGGTGGCAGCCTAAGTGGCCATCAATGGAAGAATGGATAAACAGACTTTGACACACACACACACACAATGGAATATTATGCTACCTGGAAGAATAACGATGAAGCTGCAAAACTCATAACATGGATGAACCTAGAGGACATTATGCTGAATGAAATTAGTCAGTCACAAAAGGGCAATTATTGCATAAGACCATTATTGTAAAAGCTTAAGAAAAGATCTTCAAAGTAAAAAAAAATTCTTTGATGGTTATCAGGTATGGGGGAGAAGGGACAGTAACTCAAAGGTTAGGGGATAGACAAATGATAGCTCAGGTGACAGGGAGGGCAATATACAAGGAGTGGGAGGGCAATACTTAAGAAGGTAGAGGGTGGGTAGATGAACAAGGACGACAGGGAAAGACTTAGGGAGGTATGCATGGGCTAAATGGGATAGAGGTATATAGTGATGTACACACAATCTTAGAACAACAGGGCTCGGTGAGACAGGGATCCAGACATAATCTGATTGGGTAAAGGAGGGGAAATAATGTTAAGGTGCTTGACTGTCTTGTGGATACTGGTTTCCCCAGCCTTCTATGGTAAAATAGACATTTAAGTGTGATAGAAAGGAATATTGGAAATTATGATTACATTAAACTTACAAGGCCATTTTCAGCCTATAACTTACTGGGTTAGCTAAAAGGGAAATTAAATTTTTCTCACTGAAATAGGTT